TTCTAAACCAATCCTGTGAGCCGACTTAGAGCTTCCGGCCCACCCAACTCTTTGTGCAATGTTACACGCCTGGTGGGTACACGTAATCAAAGTTGTAATGGAATTCAGTAAACAGAGTAAAATTTAAGTTTACGTATAAATTTATAATTTTTTTTTTTACAGAAGGGCAGGAACCTACGAATCACATGGCGACCTATCAATAATTAAACGAAATCCACCGAAGTGGGAATTTACTGGTTTACATTCAGATAAACTACTGCACTGAAACTATTAAAAATGAAACAGCGTCATAGAAAGTTATATATTTAAAGTGCCTTCTAGTATAAGGTTTTTAACAAGACTTTCGTAAGAAAATTATCTTTTAGATGTTATAAGAGCTCGGTTCGTAACAAATTTTTTATAAAAAATAATGGCCAAATTTTAGATTCACTACTTTGATGCCATTCCGATTGTGACAAAGGAAAGGAGATATTTATAGATGGGCCATCCAGAGAAATTGCTCTCTGACAAAAACAAGTTCCTTTTTTGAACCGAAGAGTTTCTGAGCAATGTCACGAATTGTTTTTACGCTAGAGGAGATCATGGTAATGAAATGTTAGTGGTAATTTAAATGTTAATTTTTGATATCCACGGCTTTCTGACTTACACTTGTTTTGTCCCATTTGCTGAAGGGAAATGTCTCATCTATAACAAATTCTGATCTTTTTTTTTTATAGAGAAACAAGCTATATTAGAAAGACGACTTCCTGTCCGATTTCCAGATCAGACGGTTGTTTCTTACTTAACGGAATTAAAATGATATTTTTGAGGTTCCTTCTATTATGAGAATTCATCAAAGATTAATTAGGTGTAATTAATCAAAGATTAATCAGGTCTTTGGACGAATTTTCGACAATAATTGGTTTGTGTATAAATTTGATCCTTCAATTTACATTGTTACTGAAGTATAAACGTTTCTTAGCAAAATTCTTGAATAGAGCACGAGGAGCCGCAAGCGGTGATATTTTTGCACGGCATCTGGCGGCACATCAAAGAATTTGGAATTGAAGGGCAAATTCCTAGAATATCTTCGCCAGTTAAGCTAGAGAAAAGGTGTTAAAAAACCTCAGGATCCAACACAACACGTTAATCAAAATATCACTTGGACCTTTTCGCTAATGAAGAGCTATCACGCGGCTAAGCTTGAGTCAGACATATATTGAAATAGGAACTCGTGTCCATAAAGTATCAGAAGTGAGTGGGAATCGCTCCTGGTTAAAAAACTGGTTCACAGGGATATGCATCTCTTCTAGTTAAGAAAAGGGAATCAGAACTGCTTTTCATGCAGGAACAGGTTTTCTTCGGGCTAACAGCTTATTTCACTCCTTGACATTATACAAAGCGCATTTTGTAAAGAAAACTTTTTCCGCTTTATCAGCTTTTTTTATATTCTATTCCATTAATGTTTAACCTCACTCAAAAAGCCAAATAATATAAATGCTGTTGTTAAAAAAAGCGTTTTACCTGTTTTCGTGAATTCGCTACCCAAAGATCACTATGCTCAAAGGACAGGGCAAAATTTCCAGGAGAGAGGCATTAATTTTTTTTTCCCGCGAGGTTACAAAGAGAAAATGCAATGATTATTATTAATGTAACCATGCAGTTATACTCTACCCGCGAGTTTACGGACAGCAAATGCAGTGATTATTATTAATGTAACCATCAGGTATGTTCTACCCACGAGGTTACAAAGAGAAAATGCAATGATTATTATTAACGTAACGTTCAGGTATGTTCTACCCACGAGGTTACAGAGAGCAAATGCAGTGATTATTATTAGATGTAACCGTCAGGTATATTCTACCCACGAGGTTACAAAGAGAAAATGCAATGATTATTATTAACGTAACCTTCAGGTATGTTCCACCCACGAGGTTACAGAGAGCAAATGCAGTGATTATTATTAAATGTAACCGTCAGGTATATTCAACCCACGAGGTTACAAAGAGACAATGCAATGATTATTATTAACGTAACCTTCAGGTATGTTCTACCCACGAGGTTACAGAGAGCAAATGCAGTGATTATTATTAATGTAACCATCAAATTTGATTAAATTACGGGACAGAAATTTTACTGCTTGCGGCTCCTCGTGTAGATTTGTTAAATGACCATATAAATATAGGCAAGAAAACAGGTACTTTAACAAGTCATAAGCTTGTGGTGTCTCCTTCAGCGTTAACTCATCGGGTAAGTGAATCGGTATACTAGATTTTTAAGTGCTACTTGAGATTTTCATATGTTCTTGATTTAATATAATTATTTGTCGCCACCCTAAAACAAAATGGCCAAGGTTTCGTAAAACTTCATCGTCGTTTTTTCTCTGAGAATATAAAAAAGAAAGAAATATAAATTTGTGACCACGTCAGTGAACTAATTTTACTTGATTTTTCTGCTCGATATTTGTCATCTTTTTTAAGTGGTATGGTCGGTTGTTCTCTAGGCTATTTAATTAATTTTTAAAGATGTATAATGTTTAGTTTTTCGTACGTGAACGATGATATTTTTAGCTCCCAACACTGAATTCCACTAATAGGCTTGCCTTTGTCTTGAGTTAAGAATTAAGATTAATTTTGCTAAGGCCTTGTCCTGTGAAAAACACATTTTAGAACGTTTTAACCCGTTTGCGATCAATGCATTGGTTGTTCTTTTTCCTTGGTAAAAATCCTTGATTCTTGGTTTCCATGAGACGTAATCAAGATTTTAATCTAAAAATCGTCAATCCCTCTAAGACTTTAGTTTCAGGTGAGGGCGTTTTATCGCAGTCAACTTTTTAGAAGTTTTCAGTTCGATGAGACAGTTTGTTTTGTGCCCGCCATGGCACAAATAGCCCTGAGGAAAACAGCCAACGAGAACAAGGTAGGATACCCAAAAGCAGCTGAAGTTCTAGAAAAGAACACGTACATGGACGACATCTGTGAGTTAGTAGACACAAACAAGAAGCTCGGGAATTAACAGATGGGTCAACCCCAATCAAACCCCAGAGAAATAATCCTGTTGTTCTGGTCTTAGTAAGATTGGGTACCCTTAAATTGCGCACATATTTGCGATAAAATTTATTTATCCGAGCTATTTTTCTTGATTGACGTTAGCAATTATTGTGAAGAACGAAAAATAAAGCTCCTAATTAACGGTTATATAAAAAAAATCTAGAAATGTAGGTAGCACTTTTTTGGCATTCCAGTAACAAAGCAATTTTCTAGCTTTTAATGAGCACAATCGGTTCACACGGGTATGATACACTTTGACTAAACCATTGACTTACTGCTTCAAAAAAAATTGTTCAAAACTTAAGTTTACATGTAAGTTTATAATAACTTTTTACAGAAGGGCAGGAACCTACGAATCGTATGGCGAACTATCAATAATTAAACGAAATCCGCCGTAGTGGGAATTTACTGGTTTACAATCAGACAGAATACTGCACTGAAACTATTAAAAAATGAAACAGCGTCATTTATTAAGAAAGTTGTATATTTAAAGTGCCTTCTAGTATAAGGTTTTTAACAAGACTTTCGTAAGAAAATTATCTTTTAGATGTTATTAGAGCTCGGTTTGTAACAATTTTTTTTATAAAAAAATAATCGCCAAATTTTAGATTCACCACTTTGATGCCATTCCGATTGTGACAAAGGAAAGGAGATATTTATAGATGAACCATCCAGAGAAATTGCTCTCTGACAAAAACAAGTTTCTTTTTTGAACCGAAGAGTTTCTGAGCAATGTCACGAATTGTTTTTACGCTAGAGGAGATCATGGTAATGAAATGTTAGTGGTAATTTAAATGTTAATTAATCAAAGATTAATCAGGTCTTTGGACGAATTTTCGACAATAATTGGTTTCTGTATAAATTTGATCCTTCAATTTAAATTGTCACTGAGGTAAAAACGTTTCTTAGCAAAATTCTTGAATAGAGGTTATTAGATTTGTCTGACCATATAAATATAGGCAAGAAAACAGGTACAAGTCATAAGCTTGTGGTATCTCCTTCAGCGTTAACTCATCGGGTAAGTGAATCGGTATACTAGATTTTTAAGTGCTACTTGAGATTTTCATGTTCTTTATTTAATATAATTATTTGTCGCCACCCTAAAACAAAATGGCCAAGGTTTCGTAAAACTTTATCGTCGTTTTTTCTCTGAGAATATAAAAAAGAAAGAAATATAATTTCGTGACCACGTCAATGAACTAATTTTACTTGATTTTTCTGCTCGATATTTACCACCTTTGTTAAGTATGGTCGATTGTTCTTAAGGCTGTTAAATTATTTTTAAAAGGTGTATAATGTTTAGTTTTTCGTACGTGAACGATGATATTTTTAGCTCCCAACACTGAATTCTACTGTTAGGCTTGCCTTTTTCTTCAGTTAAGAATTAAGATTAATTTTGCTAAGGCATTGTCCTGTGAAAAACACATTTTAGAATGTTTTAACCCGTTTGCGATCAATGCATTGGTTGTTCTTTTTACTTGGTAAAAATCCTTGATTCTTGGTTTCCATGAGACGTAATCAAGATTTTAATCTAAAAATCGTCAATCCCGTTAAGACTTTAGTTTCAGGTGAGAGCGTTTTATCGCAGTCACCTTTTTAGAAGTTTTCAGTTGGATGAGACAGTTTGTTTTGTGATAGACCACGTTTGAAAGGTACTATGTAACGAGGAGCTGCTTTTTTTAGGTCAGTTCTCTGCTGAAAACATTTCTTAGTGCCTTCACCCATTCAGAAAATGTCCCTGTAGGTTTATGAAGACGATATAATACAAATTTCATCAGAGAGCACTAATCGTAATAATCTTTCTTGGTGAAATCTGGAGGCACATCTACCTTAAAACTTTGAAAACGTTGGTTGATGTCTTGCAAATTATAATTTTCACAAAGTGCGACCAGCTTTGCAGGTTTTAATATGACATTTTTTATTTTGGTTTTCAGTTTCTAATACCATTCTGTTGGCAAAGAAGAGTGAAAGATGAAAAGCCTGTTGCTTATCGTGGTTCTTAGTCTCCTGGCTGTGGGTTATGCCAGGGACCAGGAAGCAGAACTTGCAATCCGAGGGGGCAAAAAAGGTGATCATACTAAGAAGGGGTCCGAGGGCTACTCCCACGGTGAAATTTTGATGTTTAAGTGTTCGGAAATGGCACGAAATACTAACAAAACATTTTTTTTCGATAACTAACAGTAATGTAAGTTTTACACTTTTAGCTATTTCAATATCCTGAGAGGAGGCTAAACAGTCCTATTTTCACCTCGTCTCATTCAAGGACTGGGCAAATTTTTGACTTTTCAAGCTGCCTTGTCCCCGGTCGTTCTCTCTCCCTTCCGCGTATCGCCTTTCTCGCGTGGGGTGGGGTCGCGCCCTCGCATTTCGCTCGCTCTACTATCCCTGAGGGAAAATGGGGACTATTCGTAATCTACTCGTGATCACTTTTTTGGGGATATTTGAGTTAATAAGCCATGCACTTCCTCCCGTAAGGATCAGTTTACTGTTTTAATTTCAAACTTTGGTCAGTGAAGAAAAAAAGAGAGACATAAAAAGATTGTGCTAATTAGAAACTTTAATCGCCGGGAATGAATTGCCAAAATGTCTCTGAGCAATCAATAATTGAAGAGCTTCCGTGAAGTGAAAGGGTTCTCTCTCCTGAAAGCGCTTTAAAAAATCGAATAAAAAATCTTGGAAGTAGGGATATATAACGTACAACAACCCAATCCGCCCCGTCCGACTCCTTCCCCGCCGGCCCACTCCTTCCCCCCCCTCTCCTTCCCCCCCCGCCCACTCCTTCCCCCCCGGCCCACTCCCTCCCCCCCCGGCCCACTTCTTTCCCCCCGCTCCACTCCTTCCCACCCGGCCCACTCCTTCTCCCCCAGCCCCTCCTGTCAAACTGTACGCGAAAGGGATAAGACATCAATTTATATTTTAACAGGCAATTCTTGTATGAAACAAGGAGGCATGTGCATCAAAGGTAAATCCTGCCCAAACGGTTATGAAGAATGTGGACACTCCTGTGGGAAAGGGAAGAAGAACAAGAAAAAAAAATGCTGCTGCTTGATACCTCCTACGCCGACCCCGGAGCCAAGTGCGTAGTAATAATTAGTCTAATAGAAGTAATATTTAATCATATAGTATGTAGTAATAATTAGCCTAATTTAAATACTGTATTATATTAGTAATAATTAGCCTGTGAAATCAAATAGTGACGATTGAAAATAGGATGAAATACACGCCCGTTTTGTCCAAATTCTAAGAATTTTTTAGCCTTTATACCTATTAATATCGTGGGTAACAAATTTAAAGCCAAAATATTTGGCTTAATTCACTATTTTCTAACTTTTTTTGAAAAAATACCTATTAGAATTCTCGATGCGTTGTTTGGTGTTTTTCGCTTTTCGAAGGAATATTTTAAGGGCCCTGACATCTTCATTCATAACCGGTTTTAGAACTTTGACGCCATCTTGGCACTGATACGTACTGAACGTCATTGTATTATAGCAATTTTGTAATTTCAGATGTGAAATTTTAAATTAGCGCTAAAATTTCGTGCCAGAATGAAGGAGTAATTTGCCACCAATGATATTGCTTTTTATTCCCTTCATTGTTTCCTTAATTGAGACGCTTTTCACTTTAAAAATTCTCGGGCCCAGTTTGAAGTTATAATAGAGTACACTAAACGTATCACAAATGATAAGAATACACGTTCACATAGCAGCATAGCGAACCTGGACCATTATTTATGGAATTCAATTGATGTGAAGACGCGTTTTAGCTTTTTAAAAAAGTTAGCAAATAGCATGGCATAGTTTCTTAGCAAGATAGCTATATCTTCGTGGGCGTACGTCTGCCTAGACCCCAGACCTCGTTATTGTGCGCGGCTGATGCATTTCGGGTGACGTGGTCCGAGCGATATTTTGAGACGTCAGCGAAATGCATTGACCGAGAGGGCCTGGAAAGACGCCGACAGGGACTAGGCAANTTTGAAAAAATACCTATTAGAATTCTCGATGCGTTGTTTGGTGTTTTTCGCTTTTCGAAGGAATATTTTAAGGGCCCTGACATCTTCATTCATAACCGGTTTTAGAACTTTGACGCCATCTTGGCACTGATACGTACTGAACGTCATTGTATTATAGCAATTTTGTAATTTCAGATGTGAAATTTTAAATTAGCGCTAAAATTTCGTGCCAGAATGAAGGAGTAATTTGCCACCAATGATATTGCTTTTTATTCCCTTCATTGTTTCCTTAATTGAGACGCTTTTCACTTTAAAAATTCTCGGGCCCAGTTTGAAGTTATAATAGAGTACACTAAACGTATCACAAATGATAAGAATACACGTTCACATAGCAGCATAGCGAACCTGGACCATTATTTATGGAATTCAATTGATGTGAAGACGCGTTTTAGCTTTTTAAAAAAGTTAGCAAATAGCATGGCATAGTTTCTTAGCAAGATAGCTATATCTTCGTGGGCGTACGTCTGCCTAGACCCCAGACCTCGTTATTGTGCGCGGCTGATGCATTTCGGGTGACGTGGTCCGAGCGATATTTTGAGACGTCAGCGAAATGCATTGACCGAGAGGGCCTGGAAAGACGCCGACAGGGACTAGGCAAAGCGTACGCAATTAGTGTTTTGTAGGTTGAATTTAGACTCCTGGCCGCGGGAGAAAGCTGAGGTAAGCTTTCAGAAAACATTTGAAAAGGTATCGCAAGGACAGAGAACTATGTAAGCCAACTGATATCCTTATCTTCCAGCACAATTCGCTGTAATATGCAATGAATTGATAGTTTCTCACCTGCGAAAAATGTGAAAAATGCTTATGACAAGGTTCGCCGTTTTCCAAACTTTATTTCATTAGAAAGACTTACAAGGAAAATTATGTTTTGTATCTCGGTTTAGCTTGTCCAAAGGGCTGGGTTGAAAACGGAAATCAGTGCTACTATATACTCCCCGAAACAAAGGAAGCATTTGTGCGGGGATTATACCTATGCAATCAACTCGGAGCAACCCTACCAATCATCAAATCAGCCGAGCAGAACGCTTTCCTTTTGAGTCTGATGGAGGGAAAAGATGATCCACGGCTTGGAATGATAGCACCCAACAACAACAACGTCTTTGAATGGCTCGACGGGACGGCAGTGGCCGATACCTTCTCTGCATGGAATACGGGTGAGCCTAACGGTCCTGGATCAGAGAACTGTGGGCACTTGTACGTCAGCGGAAGTGCAAAAGGAAAGTGGAATGACGATCCCTGTTCGCATCCCCGAGTTATTGTTTGCCAGATGGAGAAGAAATGAGCCTGGCCAACAGCTGCTGTGAAGCTACTGAAATTGTAGGCTAGTCTCACATGTAGAATTATAGTGGGCGATCAATACTCAGTGAGCCAAACCTGACAAAGAAATAAAGGTGTTGGGAGATATTACTTGTTGTAGACAATCATTTGTTTGTATTTTTGGATAATGAATTTAATTTAGCTGTCAGTATCTCAACTGGCATCGCACCCAACATTACCATCCACCAATGCCAATGATCATTTAACTTAAGGGAGTAATTTTGGATATATCTCAGGGAACCCATACGCTGTCCTATTAAGCCAAATTTACGGGGGCACCCATCGACTTTTTTCTGTAAGATTACTATTCAAAGGAGCAAATATTGCACGAGAAATTTAAGCTGTAGAGCGGCAGGTGACAAAGTCTAAAAATTTCTGGATAACCTTTCATTTATGATATTCGGAGTTTTTCTGCTAACTAACCTGCCACTTCCCTAAGAGCTTGGTTGGTCAGGGTAAAAAAAAATAACGCTTAAGTCTAAAATTCGTGAATCGGTTATAATTAATGTAGAACCCTAACCCTTTATCTCTGAAATTATTTTGTCAATTATCCCTTATACTCAAGAAAATTAAGGCATGGGTCTTCTATTTAATTCCTCATAAACAGAGGGTGTGGTTTAACTTTTTAAGCTTCAATATAGTGTAAAATAACTTATGGACAGACTACCTAGGTGTAATTTCAATAACTTTGAACAGGAGCATTCTATTTGGCAAAATGGCACCACTTTTCATTACTTTCTGGAAGTTGCAGTGATCGTCATAGTGATGAGACTTGATGAGAGTAATAGGTACATTATTTCTGTGGCCAGGCCTTTTAAGGTAATCTTTTAGAAAGGGACGAAATTCGAAAACCGTTTGATGAGGGGACTGGGCACTAGCACGAAATTTCGTTTATTTACACTTTCAATAAATTATTCAACAAAGCCCGGACACAGATGTTTAGTCAAGGGTTAGGGCTACAAAATAGAGTTACCAACTCTTACCCTCCAAAGATAGCAAAATACAAACAAGCAAGAAAAAAAAAATAAACAAAGAAAAGAACCTGTCCTACATACACAGTACATAAAGGATAAGTGAACAGCATTTGAGCGAGAATTTCTGCAACGCAGTACTTCGATGGAAGAGTTTCCCCCGTATCCATTTTCCTTACTTGAGCTCGTCCCTTTTTTGTTTACCGGGTATTAGTCACAAGTAAATCCCGGGGACGAGATTCATCCCGTTCTATTGACCGTAAATCTCCTTGTAAGTTCCCTCTTAATAAGCCCCCTTCTCCGAGAATATGCTCCCCCCATTTCAGGGGGATAATTAAAAAGTTTTGAAGCCCTCCCTCTCTTTTAAGCCCTCTCTCCCTTTCTCCCTTAATATTCACAACCAAATTCATAAATGATGGACTGTACACTTTTGGCTGTTCATGGGGACTGATTCGGTATCGATTATTCCTCGATCACTAGCCTTTCATGTCCCTTAGTGGTGGTTTAATTATAAATTCGCGAGTTTAACGAGAGAGTATTGCGCGGGTGACCTCGTCCCCAGGGCGCCTTTCCCTGGCTCAAGCCTCCTGGGGACGAGGTTGTTTCGCGGGGTTTAATTTTCGCGATTTTAACAGGTAAATATGAATAAAGGGCATTAAATTTCACGATTTACGCGATCTCAACTTCATTTTCTTTTTTTAAAAGTCTGAACCTTTAAAAAAAAAAAAGAAGATATACTGGAACAAGCAATGTGTGAAACGTTACTTCACTGAAGGGAGACACAAAATGGAGCTTACCAGTAAAACCATTTAACAATTTGTGCTTGTCAATACATAACGTCGCTATCACATGTTTGTTGTTATTTGAATTTTCTCTACGGGTATTTATTTTCGCCTTTTTTTTTACAATCGCTAAAAACGCGAAATATTAAGTCCCAATAAGGTATTTGAGTTTTTCCACTTAGCGTTCTTGTTCTTTAAGAAAAATTGATGCCATTTTCTGGTTATTCGAAAAGGCAATATAGCACCCTGTTACGCTAAATTATTTAAGCCCATCCCGCCAATCTTTTAAGCCCCCTACTGGCCCCCAGCCTAGCAAAAAAGTTTTCTTCGGGCTGGGAGAGGCGGGGGGGGGGGGCGCTAATATGAGGATTTTCTCCTGCGCGCGCGTGGAGTTCTGGGATTATTTTTAAGAAACGTGTTTTACAACATGCAACTGAACATCTATTGATTTTTTCGCAGTTTATTGACGCTTCTCCTGCGCGCGCGTGGAGTTCTGGGATTATTTTTAAGAAACGTGTTTTACAACATGCAACTGAACATCTATTGATTTTTTCGCAGTTTATTGACGCTGGATTTTGACGAAAAGGTAAGTTAACAGCAGCTTTACGAAGAACATTTTGTGCATTCTATAAAAGAGTGCTAGCCAAAGCGGAAAGAATGACATTGTTTGCATTGATCTCAGGTTGAAAATATTGTTAGCATGATCCTGTGATTCGAAGTGATAATCACAAGGGAAAACAGTTTTACAAAAGGACAATGGAATAAAGGTAAGAAGGCTTTATTTTCTATGATTTTGATTTCTTTCTTTTTCTCTTTGTCGGTCGTGTTTCTTTCCGCGATCCTTTGTCCCTTGTGAAGTTCTTTTGATCATGGATCATGAGATTAATCGTGATTTTCAGGAGTGCCTATTTTAGCTTTCGATCAACCGAAATCGAATCATGTGTACTCACAGGCTCACTTCACAGATGGTTGAAATTTATAACTCTACTCGACTTTGACTCGATAATTGCGAAATTTTTCTATACGCGAGGTAAAACTTACTGAAAATGAACTGCTGACTATTGACTGTGTATAACCACGTGGTCCTTGGGAGACGGGGGGGGGGGGGGG